TAAATGTGAATTAAAAATCAAATGATTCTACAAACTATGAAAAACAGCAGTTCTTAGAACCTCTCTCTTGTTATTTCTTCATCCTGATTTTTTTTGTTCTTTTATCTGATTATTTTGGCATTTGTCTCAGCATTTCTAAATAATAGGACTATAATACATTTTTATTATTGGTCAGTTTTAGGTATCATTTACTGACTTCCTATACTAATAGTTAAAATTTAGTTATTAAAGTATCCTTTTAATGTGGAAACTCATAACCTTCAGTTGTGGTCACTATTCTGAAATTATTTTAATGATTACTTGCTCTCAATTTTCTCTGTTCTCTCTTTTTAGAACTTCTATCTGTAAGTTATATCTCCAGTATTCATTTTCTAATACTTTTTACACTTATTATTTTTTGCTTTACTTTCTGGAACGTTTTCTTGACTCTATCTTTTAGCACTTCTCCAAAGTTTTTCATTACTGCTATTATATTTTTAATTATTGAGATCTTTTTATTCCCTTAAGTATTCCTTTATGGTTCTTACTTTATGGTTTGCCATCTTTCCTTTTTTCTTTAAGGATACTAACTGTTGTATTAAAGAGTTTTATTTCCATGTATCCTCCCTATAGCCTGTAAAGCGCTTGTTCTTATATGTTTTCTTTCATCTCTATACCTCTTGTTAGAAGTTTTGCCTAGATATGTGCTCATGTTGGGTTGCCTGCACATGATCAAGAGTAGTGGAATCCTCTGAGGCCTGTTGACTATAAGCTTCATTGTAGGATGATGTGGCTAGAGCTTTCATTTGGCAAACTTCTGATATCAGAATCTTAGGTATTTCATTTGAGGCTGTCATATTTCCAGATTTCTCTGGAAGGTAAAGACCTAATTGACAGCATTCTTAGAGCCAGTTAGGGTAAGAGAGGTAGAGCTTTTGGTGGGGGAATTAGAATGGGCTTCTTCACTTTGTTGCTTGTTTCCTTTGCTATGCAGAAGCTTTTTTAACTCAATGCAATCCCATTTATCCATTTTTTTTCCTTGGCTACCCATGCTTGTGGATATTGCTCAATAAATTTTTGCCCAGACAATGTCTTGAATATTTTCCCCATTGTTTTCTTGTAATAATTTCATAGTTTGAGGTCTTAGATTTAAGTCTTTAAACCATTTTTGATTGGACTTTTGTATATGGTAAGAAATAGAGGTCTAGCTTCATTCTTTTAAATGTGGATGTCCCATTTTCCCAGCACTATTTATTGAAAAGACTGTTCTTTCTCCAGTATATGTTCCTGGCAACTTTGTCAGAAATGAGTTCACTGTAGATGTATGGATTTGTTTCTGGGATCTCTGTTCTATTTCATTGGTCTATGTGTGTATTTTATGCCAGTAACAAGCCATTTTAGTTATAATAGATAGCTCTGTAGTATAATTTGAAGCCAGGTAATATGATTCCTCCAGTTTTGTTCTTTTTCCAGCTTTGGTTATTCTGAGTCCTTTGTGGCGCCATATAAAATTTAAGATTGTTTACTCCGTGTCTGTGAAGACTGTCATTGGTATTTTGATAGGGATTGAATTGAATCTATGGATTGCCTCTAGTAGTATGGACATTTTAACAATATTGAGTCTTCCAATTCATGAACATGGAGTATCTTTCCAGTTTTTGTGTGTCCTCTTCAGTTTCCCGAATTAATGTTTTACAGTTGTTATTGTAGATATATTTCGTTGCTTGTGTTAGGTTTATTCCTAGGTATTTTATTTCATCTGTAGCTATTGCAAATGAGATTAAATGGCACATATACACCATGGAATACTATGCAGCATATAAAGGAATGAGTTCATATCCTTTTCAGGGACATGGACGAAGCTGGAAACCATCATCCTCAGCAAACTAACACAGGAACAGAAAACCAACATCACACGTTCTCACTCATAAGTGAGAGCTGAACAAGGAAAACACATGGACACAGGGAAGGTAACATCACACACCAGGGCCTGTTGGGGGATGGGGCGCAAGGTGGGGGAAACCATTAGGACAAATACCTAATGCATTGTGGGGCTTAAAACTTAGATGATAGGTTGATAGGTGAAGCAAACCACCACGGCACATGTATACCTATGTAACAAACCTGCACATTCTGCACATGTATCCCAGAACTTAAAGTAAAGTAAAAAAAAAATGCTTTAAAAAACTTATCTAGCATTGTAGGTTGCTTTCAAGTCAGAGGATCAATCATGATATCTAACCAGTTAGTTAATGTCTTACCTTTGCTGTTTTATCTTAAAGATATGATGTGTAAAGATGTCAGTTTTCCTTTCTCTTATTGTTTTGCTCCCCTTTCCAGGAATATTATCCATATCAATAAGCTTTTTCAAATATCTATGTCATAAGGACTTCCAATTATGTGTCTCTAGCTCAGATCTTGTAATTCAGCTCCAGTCCATCTCTTTCAGGGTGTCCAGGACATTTTTATTTAGACCTCTTAATAACATCAAACAGGAGAAGATTTTGTGTTGATGCTATTGTCTATTGTTTTGTATTTATTTTTTATTTTTCCCAGAAAGACTTCCTCTTTCTGCATTCCTTGTCTCAGATAATCTACGCAGTTTCAAAAACCAGACTCACTGTAGGCCTAGCGAATTTTACTTTTTCCTTCAATATCCACATTCAGTTAATCACTAAATCCTGATTATTCTACCTTCTTATTGGCCCTCCTTTCTTTTGCTTATCTCTCCATTTCTTTAGCCACATTTTGAAATGCCAATTAAATTTTCTTAACTGGCTTTCCTTTTCTTATCTAAATTTTCACCATCTTTTCCTTCATGGAGCTGACAGGTGCAAATTTTATAAAGTGCATACTTGGTGTTCTTTTCTTTTTAATTATTAAAGTCTTTCCTGTGGCTTCCAATTACCTTTAAAGAAAACCCTGCATTTTTTTAGAATGGTATTCAAAATACTCTTTAACATGGCTTTGACTTTTTAGCCTGATATTCTTAAAATATAGATGTTCTAAGCTGTAGTAATAGTAAACCACCTACATTTTTGCAGATCTACATCCTTTTTCACACATTTGCGTGCTTCTGTGTGTCCCCCTACCCATACATCTCTTGGCATTCTTTGACAAGGTTCTTCCTCTTCTTTCTGTTGCTACTGAACAGTGTTATGTTCCTCTATTTATTCAACTATTGCAATGTAATTGTTTGCTTAAGAATTTTCTTCATCCTTTCAAATACAAACTACTTGGACTATGCCTTTTTTTTTCTTTTATTTTTTTCTCATGAAGTTCCTGACACATAGCAGGCACACAATAAATTTTGAATTTATGAATGAATGAATTTATTAGAAAGTTTGGAAGAGAACTACGTCTCCAGACTTCTTTTCATTTTGCTTTTAACTGTGTAATGTGAACCAAATTTAATAAAACAGTCACTTTTTTATAGAAATGCTTTCCATGTCCTCAAAATTACAAAGCTCTTTTGGAAACTTCTGATCTCACAATATCATAACCTCATGGCTGGAAGGGAGCCTAGATAGGGCATTTAACCCTTCTAACCAAACCGGGAGTTACTGCTCAATTTCTCTGACATGTGTTTTTCCAGATTGTATTTGGATAACTTCAGGTATTGTGAAAATGAGGAAACGATGGAGCTTGTTCTTTCTATCTTTGTAGAATGATGACCATGCAAAAGGTCTCTTTTTATACTAAAACTAAATCTCTCTCTACAAGTTTCACAAATAGACCTTGGTAAAACCCCAAGGGCAAAACAGAACATATTTATGACCTCTTCCATATAACAGTCTTCAAGAATTTGAAGACAGGTTATGTTCCTTACCAAGTCTTCTCTATCTCAGCTTAAAATATACAAAAAACTTTCAATTTCCTTCATAGCGTCTCATTATGCTTTTCCCCACCACCTTTCTTTTTTAATCTACAAGGATACTCTGTTAAATGGAACTCAAGCTTCTTGGCTGACTTAAATGGAATTAATTGGATTCTCACATTACTATTTCTAAATTAGGTTTTTTAATGATAAAACCTAATTCTGTATTTATCATTGTTATTTTTATCCTATAAAATTAATTACCTTATTATTATATAAATTAAAACAACATAGAGTTGTATACATAATGTATATGCTTCATAATTCTAGCTTCTAGGCATTACCATTGTTAATAGTTTTGTATATGGTCATGTACCACACGACAACAATTTCGTCAAAGAAGGACTGCATATACTACGGTGATCTCATAAGATTAAAATGGAGCTGAAAATTTTCTATCATCTAGTGAAGTTGTGATCATCATAATATTGTAGTGCAATGCATTATTTACATATTTGTGGTGATGCTAGTGTAAACAAACCTACTGTACAGATAGTTTATAAGCATGACACATGCAATTATGTACATTACATTATACTTGATAATGATAACAAATCACTATGATACTGGTTTACATATTTACTATACTATCTGTTATTATTTTAGAGTGTATGACTACTTATAAAAATGTTAACTGTAAAACATCCTCAGGTAGGTCCTTTTAGGAGGTCTTGTTATCACAGAAGATGACAGTTCCACTTGTGTTATTGCCTCTGAAGACCTTCAGGACAAGATGTGGAGGTGGAAGACAGTGATATCAATGCTCCTGAGACTTTGTAGGCTTAGTATAACTTTTGTGTTTATGTCTTAGTTCTTAACAACATCGTTTAAAAAGCAAAATTAGAATTAAAAAATGTAAAAATAGGAAAAAACTTACAGAATAAGAATATAAACAAAAATATTTTATCTAGCTAGCTGTACAATATGTTTGTGTTTTAAGCTATGTGTTATTACAGAAAAGTAAAAAAGTTTTTAAATTTAAAAACTCTATAAAGCAAAAAGTTATAATAAGTCAATATTAATTTATTATTGAAGAAAGAAAAACTCTTTTGTAAACTTAGTGTATCCTATGTGTACAGTGTTGATGAAGTTTGCAGTAATGTAATGTCCTAGGCTTTTACATTCTCTCACCTCTCAATCATAGGCTCACCCAGGGCACCTTCCAGTCCTGCAAGCTCCATTCATGGTAAGCATGCTATACAGACATATCATTTTAAATCTTTTATCTGGTATTTTTACTGTATCTTTTCTATGATTAGATATGTGTAGATACACAGATACTTACCATTGTGTTATAATTGCTTACCATATTCAGTAGAGTAGTATTCTGTACAGGTTTATACCCTAGGAACAGTGGGTTATACTAGATAGCCTAGCTGTGTGGTAGGCTACATTATCTAGGTTTGTGTAAATACACTGCCTGATGTTTGCACAAAGAAAAAAATATCCTAATGACTCATTTCTCAGACTATATCCCTGTTGTCAAGTCATGTATGGCTATATGATTTATCCAGACTCTCCATGGAATATATGTATTTAGTTATGAATACTATATATAGATATGTTTGTATTTTACCAAAATGTTACAAAAATTGGATCACACTATGTATAGCATTCGGTAACTTGTTATTTTCACTTAACATTATGTTTAAACTTTTGTTATATATTTTGGTTACCTTTGCATAACTGTATATGTACCATTAGTCGATTCTTTTTAAAAGCTGCATAATATACTACTCTTTAAGTGCACAGTCACTTATTTAGCTAATTTATTGATGCTATTTTAAATTATGAAAATCATAAACAATTCAATAAAAGTTATTGGGCATTTTCAATCTGCACAATATTGTGCCAACAACTGGAGCCAAAATGAATGCAATAATCTCTGCCACTAGGGAGTTTCTGATCTACTGGAATACAGCAATGAATTAATCAATATAATGCAATGTAAATGCTGTCTCAGAAATATGCAGAGACACAAGAGGAGACAGACACTTGGAGTATTCAGGTAAAAGTTGGTATATTTATGTTGCATATTGAAACATTAAGTAAACAGTCACCACAGAGGAAAGCTATTTCTGGTTGCTGGTTTGCATGTTTAAATTCATACTGTTATGCAAAACTACGGTGTATTTGCAGAACTGCAAGTAGTTCAATGTGCTATCTATGGCAGGATCATGTAGGAGATGACAATGGTGAAGTAGGTGAGGGTTAGCTAATGCTGTGCCTGTTGTGCCTCAGGCCAACACATACTTTGGTTCTTATCGGCAACAGGGAGCCAGGTTAGATAAGGGAAGAAAACAAGGGAAGGTATAAAATACAGCATTGCCAGCTGGAAATAACTCTTCTTAAAGAAAATTCTGTAAGCAGTGATGTTTTGCCTGGTTTCCCTTACTTGGGCATAGCAGATGACATCTGTGCCCTGAGTATATCACCTTTGTTATTATTAGTGTAGAGTGTCTGTGTATCAGTAAAAGTGTAGGATCACCTCCTAAATAAATTATTTTTACCTGAATTCTTGCTTCCGTATCACTTTCTAAAAGGACTTCAAGCTAAGGTACTGGTCAATAAAATCTTGGTCAAAGCAGTCTAGGTTATTTGCCAATTTAGTTACCTACTTATTAATTCATAGAAACACCAACAAAGCCTTTTGTTTGTTTGTTTGTTTTTGCTCCAGGCTTGAAAGGAAAGGTCAATTGTGGTGGCTGACATCTGTAATGCCAACATGTTGGGAGGCAGAGGTGAGAGGATCACTTGAGACTAGGAGTTTGAGACCAGCCTGGGCAACATAGCAAGGACCTGTGCCTACAAAAAAACAAAATAAATTAATTAATAAAAAGACTGTTCAAATGATGGAAGTTTGGTTTTAAAAGATGAAAAGAACCCATAGAAACTCAAGTGAAAAAAGAGAATCTCAGGAAACAAAGTTAAGCTTGGCAATAATTGAACCAAAATCACTAGGGATCCATTCTTTCTCTCTAACTCAAGATGAGTTATCTTGCATATATTTCTGCACACTGCTTTACTTTGCTGCAGCCTCACTTCCAAAATGAACATCTTAGAATTGGCATCCTGATAATGTTGGTTTACACATAGTATGTGGTTAAAATGTCATGAACTCTGACATTAATTATCTGTTATATCTCCAGAGACTAAATCAGTTTATTTGATTCAGTTTTTAAAAATTAATGTATTTGTACAGTTTATGGAGGTATAATTGACATACTGTAAATGACTAATATCTCAAAGTACAATTTGGTAAAACATAATCTATTTGTACACCAGTAAAACCACCACCGCAATGAAGGTAATGAATATGTGCATTATCCTCAAAGCGTTCCTCATGCCCTTTTCTAACCTCTTGCTTCCAGCCCTCACCTCTCTGGATTCCTCTCTGGCAATCCTTTATCTGCTCTCACAATGGATGACGGAATTTTATATAAGTGAAATCATGTTTGCCTCATTTCTTTCATCCATATAACTATTTTAACATTCACCCATATTAATGTGTGTATCATTATGTCATGCTTTTTTAACTGCTGAGAAATACTGTATTTTATAGATATACTGCAATTTGTTTATCCATTCACGTTTAGGCAATTGGACATTTGGGACATTTTGGTTGTTTCTAGTTTTGAGTCATTAAAGATGATGTTAATGATGTTACTATGAGCCTTTATGTACAAGTCTATGTATAAACATATGTGCTTGAATTTGATAAACACCTAAAAATGCGATGACAGAGTCAAATGGTAGGTATACGTTTAACTTCTTAAGAAATTACTACACTTTTGTTCAAAAGCAACTGTCAGATTTTACATTCCTACCTGCACTAAATGAGAGTTCCACTTGTTTGACATTTACCATACTTGGGAAGGTCAGTCTTAAAATTTTAGTCACCCTTACTGGTGTGTGTACTAGTATTTCTGTGTTTTTTAACTTGTGATGTTCAGAAACTGTTTCTATGCTGATTTACTATGTGTAAATCTTTATTAAAAAGGATCTGTTCACAGTCTTGACCTAGTTTTAAAAATAGGGTTGCTTGTTTTCTTATTAATAAACTTTTTCTTTCATTCTATAATGTTTAACATTGAGATATAAGTCACACGACATATAATTCACCATTTTGAAGTGTATATTTCAGTGGTTTCTAGTATATCTACACAATGTTGTACAAAAATTATGACTATTTTATTCCAGAATATTTTCATTAATCCATAAAGAAATCCTATACCTGTTAACAATCATGCCTAATCTTTTCCTCAACTCATCTCTGGCAACCCATGAATCTACTCTGTTTCCCTAGATCTGTATACTCTGAAAATTTCATATAAATGAATTCATGCAATAGTGATAATTTCTGGTATGGCTTCTTTCCATTTAGCATGTTTTCAAGGTTCATCCAAATTGTGGCATGTGACAGATTCTTATTACTTTATATGGCTGAAATTTTTTACTATAGAGTTTTGAGAATTTTTACATAGTCTGGATACATATTATCAGATTCATTATGTGTAAGTATGTTTGTAATTATTCTTAATTATTCTTGTCTGTTGCTGTCTTTTAATGTTTCTTACAGTGTCTTTAATTGTTATTACTATTATTATTACTTTGAGATGGAGTCTCACTTTGTCTCCCAGGCTGGAGTGCAGTGGCACGATCTCGTCTCACTGCAACTTCCACCTCCTAGCTTCAAGCAATTCTCCTGCCTCAGCCTCCCGAGTAGCTGAGACTACAGGCATGTGCCTCCATGCCCTACTAATTTTTGTATTTTTATTGGAGACAGTGTTTCACCATGTCAGCCAGGCTAGTATCGAACTCCTGACCTCGAGTGATCCACCTGCCTCAGCCTCTCAAAGTGCTGGGATTACAGGCGTGAGCCACTGCACCCAGCCCAATTGTTAATTTTGATGAGGTTGAATTTATTTTTTCTTTTGTGAATTATACTTTTGGTGGAGTATCTACTAATTCTTTGCCCCTAACACGGAGTCACAATCATTTCATCCTATGCTGTCTTCTAAAATTTTTATAATTTCAAGATTTACATTTAGATCTATAAATCATTTTACATTACTATTTTTATATGTGTGAGGATGGATTACAGATTTTTTTTTCTCTTTTGGTTATAAATATTCAATTGTCCTACTCCTGCTTTTTGAAAAGTCTGCTACTTTCCAACTGATATACTTTAACTATATATACATGAATCTACTTTTTCACTTTCTAATATCTTCTATTGATCCACTTGTCTACCTTACCACTAATACTACACAATCTGATTATTTACTGTAGCTTTACAATAAGTCTACAAATCAGGTAGAGTAAGTTCCCCTCCACCCCCCCAGTTTTTTTTCAAAGATGCTTTGGCTATACTATGACCTTTACATTTCCATGTAAATTTTAGAATTTGCTTATTTTCTAGAGAAAAGTCCAATAATTTTAATTGAGATTGCATTAAATCTATATATTAATTTGAGAAGGACTGATATCTAAACCACATTAACCACATATTAATCTAGGGACATTATATAGTTCTTCATTTATTTAGGTCTTCTTTCACTTTAGTATTAGAATTTATGTACAATTATTACTCATTTTAGTTAAATATATCCATAAATAATTCATTTTCCCTGAAGTTATTGTAAATACTACTTCAAATTTTAACTTCTGATTGCCATTACTATTAAGAGTATATAGAAATACAATTAACTTTTGCATATGATTTTTTTATTCCAGAACCTTGCTTAATTCATTCTTCTAGTCACTTTTTTGAAGATCACGTTAGATTTTCTACATAAACAAGCATGCTATTTATGAATAGAGTTTACTTTTGATAGGATTTTAAACTACAAATCCAGTATAAATTACTTAATATACATAGGCTATTCTACCATTTCCTCATAAGCAAGCTTTGTTATTTTATCTTTCAGGCCATCTGTTATTCCATATGTTGTCAACTTACTGGCATAGGGTAGTACATCATATTCCCTTATCTTTTTGTATGTGTTGCATCTTTGAGGATATAACCTCTCTGATTCCTGATATTGGCAGTTTGTGTCCTTTTATCCTCTCTTTTTAAATTTTCAGTTGGGCTAAAGTTTATCAGTTTTATATTTTGAAAGAACCATATATGCTTTTATTATTTTCTCCACTATTTTTTCTCTTTTCTATTTCATTTATTTTCACTCAGACTTACTGTTTGCTCTTCTCTCCTTACTTTAGATTTAATTTTCTCTTATCACTTTTTAGTTGAAGATATAAGATGAGGTCATCAATTTGAATCATTTCTTCTCTTTTAATTTATAGTGACATAAATATTACTCTGAGAACTATTTAAGATTCATCCCATAATTTAGATGTGTTTTCTTTTCATTTTCATTTCATTTCAAAATACTTTCTAATTTGCTTTCTGATTTCCTTTTTGACCCATGGGTTATTTTAAACTATATCAGTCAGATTCCAAATATTTAGGAAGTTAAAGATAAAATTTTGTTATTGATTTCTAATTTTTCATTTGAGTATGAAAACAGAATTTTAAAAAATTTATTGAAGCTCATTTGATAGCCCTTCATATGCTCTATCTTGGTATATGTTCTGTTTTTCCTTAATTAAAGTATTGCTCTATTCTTAGAGTTAAGTTATTAGGATATGTTAGTTGTTATTTAGTTAGTTATGTTAGGATATATTAGGATATGTTAGTTGATAGTTAATTTCAAGTCTTCTATGTTATTGACTGTCTCTTTTCTTATTCTATCAATGATTGATAGAGTGATGTTGAAATCCGAGACTATATATGTAGTATTTTTTTTTTGTACTTCTATCAGTTTTTTTCTTGATATATTTTGAAACTTTGTATTAACAGCATAAAAATTTAGAGTTATTATGCCCCTAAGAAATTGGCAACTGTATTATTATAATCCTGACCACAGGATAAATAAATGACCCTTGTAATGCTTGGTAATATTTTATGTTTTAAAATTTACTTTTTTGGCTGGAAACATGGGTACATGTTGGGAGGCCGAAGTGGGAGGATTGCTTGAGGCTAGGAGTTGGAGACCAACCAGGACAACATAGTGAGACCCCATTTATTAAAAAAAATATATATATTAACCAGACATGGTGTTGTGTACCTGTATTCCTACCTATTTGGGAGGCTGAGGTAGAAGAACTGCTTGAGTCCAGTAGTTTGAGGTTCCAGTGAGCTATGATCATCACACTATGGCACTCCAACCTGGGCAACAGAGAGAGATCCCATCTCTGAAACAAATAATCTTAAAAAGTTAAACCTACTCTGCTGTTAATATACCAAATCTCCTTTATTTTGAGTAGGATTAACATGGTATACTTTGTTCTATTCTTTTACTTTTTTTTTCTTTAAGTTCTGGGATACATGCGCAGAACATGCAGGTTTGTTACATAGGTATACACGTGCCATGGTGGTTTGCTACACCCATCAACTCATCATCTACATTAAGTATTTCTCCTAATGCTATCCCTTCCCTAGCCACTCAGCCCCCAGCAGGCCCCGGTGTGTGATATTCACCTCCATGTGTCCACGCGTTTTCATTGTTCAACTCCCATGTATGAGTGAGAACATGCAGTGTTTGTTTTTTTTGTCCCTGTGTTAGTTTGCTGACAATGATGGTTTCCAGCTTCATCTATGTTCCTGCAAAGGACATGAACTCATTATTCTTTATGGCTGCATAATATTCCATGGTGTATATCTGCCACATTTCTTTAT